ATCAGAGGAGTGAAATAGCGAGTGAAGAGACGAAGTGAGAGTCTTAAACTTTGAATGGAGAAGAGAGTACGCAGCACATGGCAATGAAGGAATCTCATCCCAAACGCAATCAAGATTCTGAATTACATACTTCTAGATGGGAATCACGAAATTANGGTTTATTCCCGCTGATTCGAATTCCGATTTGATTTCCGACACATCAAACACCGATCGCAACTTCATCCTAGAAACCCTAAATTCTCTCGTCGTCGTCGTTTGCATCTGATGAATTTGGTTATGACATCGAGACATGCACCATCAAAGAGAACACGATTTGCCGTTGGATACGCCCCGTCCGAGTCGCCGTTGGATTCGCCGCAGAGAGCAGAGTTCGCGAGAAAGAGAGAAGAAGAATCGAGAGAATGAAATATTATTTTGTTTCTTGGCCCACTCCTAAAAACATGGTCTAATTATAACATGCCACGTATCCCTGATGATCCGTATCAACCGAATCAATGGGATGATACGAATCACACAGAGTTGAGCCCAAAACTGAGTTTTTTATTCATTTAAATCTCATGATATTCAAAGAGTATGTCCGATAAACATGCTCTTATATCCACTAGGATTTTTTTAAAACCTTAAAAGCAAGGACAAATATATTAAATAAACCATATATAAAAACAAACATGAAACTCTATACATCAAAGTCAAAGCTTAACAAACGAATAACTCAAACCGAAAGTACAAACATAAATTACACTTGAATAGAGAGAGAGAGTCTCACTCGACGTTCATACATCTTCCTAAAAAATATTATATGCATATTTATGAACAATATAAAAACAACACGAAACTCAATACATCAAAGGCAAAGCTTAACAAACCAATTACTCAAACCGAAAGTACAAACATAAATTACACTTGAATAGAGAGAGAGAGTCTCACTCGACGTTCATACATCTTCCTAAAAAATATTATATGCATATTTATGAACAATATAAAAACAACACGAAACTCAATACATCAAAGGCAAAGCTTAACAAACCAATTACTCAAACCGAAAGTACAAACATAAATTACACTTGAATAGAGAGAGAGAGTCTCACTCGACGTTCATACATCTTCCTAAAAAATATTATATGCATATTTATGAACAATATAAAAACAACACGAAACTCAATACATCAAAGGCAAAGCTTAACAAACCAATTACTCAAACCGAAAGTACAAACATAAATTACACTTGAATAGAGAGAGAGAGTCTCACTCGACGTTCATACATCTTCCTAAAAAATATTATATGCATATTTATGAACAATATAAAAACAACACGAAACTCAATACATCAAAGGCAAAGCTTAACAAACCAATTACTCAAACCGAAAGTACAAACATAAATTACACTTGAATAGAGAGAGAGAGTCTCACTCGACGTTCATACATCTTCCTAAAAAATATTATATGCATATTTATGAACAATATAAAAACAACACGAAACTCAATACATCAAAGGCAAAGCTTAACAAACCAATTACTCAAACCGAAAGTACAAACATAAATTACACTTGAATAGAGAGAGAGAGTCTCACTCGACGTTCATACATCTTCCTAAAAAATATTATATGCATATTTATGAACAATATAAAAACAACACGAAACTCAATACATCAAAGGCAAAGCTTAACAAACCAATTACTCAAACCGAAAGTACAAACATAAATTACACTTGAATAGAGAGAGAGAGTCTCACTCGACGTTCATACATCTTCCTAAAAAATATTATATGCATATTTATGAACAATATAAAAACAACACGAAACTCAATACATCAAAGGCAAAGCTTAACAAACCAATTACTCAAACCGAAAGTACAAACATAAATTACACTTGAATAGAGAGAGAGAGTCTCACTCGACGTTCATACATCTTCCTAAAAAATATTATATGCATATTTATGAACAATATAAAAACAACACGAAACTCAATACATCAAAGGCAAAGCTTAACAAACCAATTACTCAAACCGAAAGTACAAACATAAATTACACTTGAATAGAGAGAGAGAGTCTCACTCGACGTTCATACATCTTCCTAAAAAATATTATATGCATATTTATGAACAATATAAAAACAACACGAAACTCAATACATCAAAGGCAAAGCTTAACAAACCAATTACTCAAACCGAAAGTACAAACATAAATTACACTTGAATAGAGAGAGAGAGTCTCACTCGACGTTCATACATCTTCCTAAAAAATATTATATGCATATTTATGAACAATATAAAAACAACACGAAACTCAATACATCAAAGGCAAAGCTTAACAAACCAATTACTCAAACCGAAAGTACAAACATAAATTACACTTGAATAGAGAGAGAGAGTCTCACTCGACGTTCATACATCTTCCTAAAAAATATTATATGCATATTTATGAACAATATAAAAACAACACGAAACTCAATACATCAAAGGCAAAGCTTAACAAACCAATTACTCAAACCGAAAGTACAAACATAAATTACACTTGAATAGAGAGAGAGAGTCTCACTCGACGTTCATACATCTTCCTAAAAAATATTATATGCATATTTATGAACAATATAAAAACAACACGAAACTCAATACATCAAAGGCAAAGCTTAACAAACCAATTACTCAAACCGAAAGTACAAACATAAATTACACTTGAATAGAGAGAGAGAGTCTCACTCGACGTTCATACATCTTCCTAAAAAATATTATATGCATATTTATGAACAATATAAAAACAACACGAAACTCAATACATCAAAGGCAAAGCTTAACAAACCAATTACTCAAACCGAAAGTACAAACATAAATTACACTTGAATAGAGAGAGAGAGTCTCACTCGACGTTCATACATCTTCCTAAAAAATATTATATGCATATTTATGAACAATATAAAAACAACACGAAACTCAATACATCAAAGGCAAAGCTTAACAAACCAATTACTCAAACCGAAAGTACAAACATAAATTACACTTGAATAGAGAGAGAGAGTCTCACTCGACGTTCATACATCTTCCTAAAAAATATTATATGCATATTTATGAACAATATAAAAACAACACGAAACTCAATACATCAAAGGCAAAGCTTAACAAACCAATTACTCAAACCGAAAGTACAAACATAAATTACACTTGAATAGAGAGAGAGAGTCTCACTCGACGTTCATACATCTTCCTAAAAAATATTATATGCATATTTATGAACAATATAAAAACAACACGAAACTCAATACATCAAAGGCAAAGCTTAACAAACCAATTACTCAAACCGAAAGTACAAACATAAATTACACTTGAATAGAGAGAGAGAGTCTCACTCGACGTTCATACATCTTCCTAAAAAATATTATATGCATATTTATGAACAATATAAAAACAACACGAAACTCAATACATCAAAGGCAAAGCTTAACAAACCAATTACTCAAACCGAAAGTACAAACATAAATTACACTTGAATAGAGAGAGAGAGTCTCACTCGACGTTCATACATCTTCCTAAAAAATATTATATGCATATTTATGAACAATATAAAAACAACACGAAACTCAATACATCAAAGGCAAAGCTTAACAAACCAATTACTCAAACCGAAAGTACAAACATAAATTACACTTGAATAGAGAGAGAGAGTCTCACTCGACGTTCATACATCTTCCTAAAAAATATTATATGCATATTTATGAACAATATAAAAACAACACGAAACTCAATACATCAAAGGCAAAGCTTAACAAACCAATTACTCAAACCGAAAGTACAAACATAAATTACACTTGAATAGAGAGAGAGAGTCTCACTCGACGTTCATACATCTTCCTAAAAAATATTATATGCATATTTATGAACAATATAAAAACAACACGAAACTCAATACATCAAAGGCAAAGCTTAACAAACCAATTACTCAAACCGAAAGTACAAACATAAATTACACTTGAATAGAGAGAGAGAGTCTCACTCGACGTTCATACATCTTCCTAAAAAATATTATATGCATATTTATGAACAATATAAAAACAACACGAAACTCAATACATCAAAGGCAAAGCTTAACAAACCAATTACTCAAACCGAAAGTACAAACATAAATTAAATAGAGGAATAGACTTATTAGATGCTCTTCCATAATTTATACACACATTCGCTTGAACATGCTATGTGATAGTCTCTCTTAAATACTTTGTCTTGACAACGGTTTTTGCAAAAATCGCAAAAAGGTCTAGAAATCTTACTTTCGAGAACAATTTGGACCCCCTTCCCGTTTATTGAGTAAAATTGACCAGGCTTGTAATATGAGTTTTTACCAAATAAGCATTCAATATGAAAAGTTGTGCAACACTCTTTGCATCCATAAAACACTTTTGTGGCTGTATCTCCTAAATCACGTTCACACACATCACACCAATGGTTCTCACATGCTTCTTCTCCATATAAAACTGTGAGAAAGAGTTTGTCATGCTTATACCTTACTTTGTATGGTAAGGTAGTACATTTCATACAAACAATAAAATTGCATTTGATGTAATTTAATTGTTTACCACATTCTGTTTTGCATACATGGCATATGGGTTTATCTTCTGGGTTTAAAGCTAGGAACAAGGGATGTTCATGAACTTTGTAATCATATGGCTTGGAAATTGAAGCACACCGAACATCTAGATCAAAAAGACATTCTCCTACGCGGCACTCATAGACGAAACCACCACAATCACGACGACAAGCATTGCATTCGAAGGCACCAGCGTCATATCTACATGCAGCCCTCA